TCAGCTGTCAGTTGAGACGTCATACCGTGGAATCAGCAGTTACCATAACAACAAGACAGTTCTCACGAAAAGTGCCATGAAGGAGCTGTGGACTCACTTGTCTTTCACTCAAATGAGATTCCACTGCAGTAAGCAACGGGGGCGTACATTCCACGTGACCACAGTCATTAACAGCACTGGTGAAGCTGTAGTCCAGTACTTCAGCGGTCAGACTGACGTGCTTCCCTCCTCATGTAATTCATTTGTTACAATGGACGACGACACCTCCAAAGCTGTGAAAGTTTGTGAAGTTTGGGGAGTAGAAAATGGCCTAAAAAATGTTAGCAAATGGTCTGGGTCTGGAATCAATGAATCAAGATTATACCGCTATATTGTTTTTGTTTGGTATGCCTATCACTGGTTGATTTCCCCAAAAGACCGAAGAGTGGAATGCGATGACTTCCACGGTCGAGTATATGCTGGTGATTTCTGGAAAATTTATGTTCGTTAAAAGTTTGGTACATTGAGCGTAGACTGTTTTTTTGTTTGTTTGTTTGTTTTCAACTCTACATACCTTTATTTCAACCTTTTAAAAAAGTTATGTTTGCATTTTCAGCTGCTCGCTTATTAGTATAGCTTGTGTGCACCCATCCCCTCACCTCACAGGAGAGCGGGTGGATGCAGGCTGTTATTAGTACAAATAAGACAACAAAAAGCGTTCCAAATTATGAGCACTAGTAATTCAGCTTTGTCCACTAGATGAGTGTTTTGAAATTTTGCCTGCTATGTCTGACTTTTCTTTGTTTGCTATTAGTGATTACATATTCAACAAACGTGCTGCTGCTCTTATCAAAGATATCGAGGATGGCGGACTCAAGATGTTAGAAATTCAATCGATGACCATAGCGCAAAGGGTGGTTGTATTAAAAAAATTAGCGGATAAAGAAAAAAAAAAGGTTCTTGGAAGTTAACATTGAATTACTTACTATTTCAAATAGGTGGAGAGTTTATTCTTAAGTGTAATTTTGACACCCGAAAGTTGCCTATCGACCTTCCATACCTTCGAGCCTTCTATAAAGAGTGTTAGGACACTTGGCCCATGCTAAACCAGTCTTGTGTGTTATTGTACGAGGATGTTGTCCACCAGGTCATTTGGAATAATCAAAAGAGTACTGTTAAAAAGCTCTCGATTTTTCAAAAACGTTTGTTTGCGAAAGGCATTATTACGATTGGTGACCTCCTTTCTGATGCAGCAATCTTCCTGAAGGCTGTGTGAAGGTGTTAAATGCAAATCTATCGCCAATATAGCATCTTAGTTTAATGAGCATCGTTGACGCAATCCCTCTTGAATGGAGACAAATCATCAGATAAAAAGCACAGCACGTTCGTCATTATATTGGTGATACAATTTATTTAATTTGGATAATTTTGAGGTAGCTTTGTCAAAGGTCTCATCCAAATTACTTTATATGGCGTTTAAGAGTAGAAAACAAGTTCCTCGAACGGGCCAAAAAAATTTTCACATTTTCGTTTCACTGGAAGAAAATTTACTCTTTGCCCTAACCTTAAAGTAACGATTAAAACTAAAACTAGAGAATTTCAGTATAATGTGTTAAATAACTACAGTATTTACAAATGAAAAGATGTTCAAGTTCAAAATGACGGATTCGCCTTTATGCTCTTTTTGTAAACGAGAAGTCGAACCCTTCGAACATTTACTTTACTACTGTGACGTGACAAAGACTTTCTGGGAAGCCTTCTTCTGTTCCTGGTTTGGTACATGTAACATCACCTCTCACCCTTTTTCTATAATGGACACTTTCTTTGTAGTTTTCGATATGGAAGAAGATTGGATTATGTTGAACCGTTTTACACTGATAGCTAATCTAAATATTAAATCTATAAGACAGTGTAAATTGAACCACGTGAATCCCTCATTACGAGTTTATAAGACCAAGATTAGGGCTGGTTATGAAGTAGAAAATAAAGATAGCCACAAGGCGGAACACATTAACAAAACATTATGAGAAATGGGAGAGGCTTTTGCCATAATTTGGCTCAGTCGTTTGCATGCATACCTCTATGTGTTGTATAATTTAGTTTTATCCTCCTTGATTACGTACTGTAGTGATAATGCAGTATTGTCTAGTTGTTACTTTTGAGTTTCAGTTATGAATAATATTGTAATTGTATAGTGAGGTTAAGTTGTTTGTAATTGTTATGTCGTAATATTAATTTTACGTGTCAGAAATGAATAATTAATAAAAAAAATAAGTAAGTCATGACAAAGGAGTTAAGTTAAATGTGATAATTTTGTACATAGAAATTCTCGGGGTCGTAGGTAATGTTCAGGTCCCTAGGCTAGCCTTTGCAAATCTTTCAGTCCGCTATCTTGTCCTTTTAAAATGCAGGAAATACAATTCGCTGATGGGTTTTCAAGTTTGTATGTCAAATACAAAAGTTTCAATGAGTATTGTTTAGTAATTCTTGTAACTACCCTGTCTCGCCGATGCCAGGTTCATCAAGCTGGTCAAAACTCGTCAGCCTTACACCGCGGTCGCCAATCGAGCGCAATCAGCGCAGATTTGACATTTTCTGTTCTGAGAGATGTTTTCGAGTCGTAGTAAAAGCAAGAGAAAAATGAAGAAGATATTGAAAAAGATCATTAATTATCTGAAAACTTTCCCAGGAGGGTACCCCCCCGGATCACCATAAAAGTGCCTTTAAATTTTCGGCTGCGCCGTTCCAGGCCTACCATTCTTAAAAAAGCTCGCTACACCCCTCAGTGACGCGATTAAGAACTTGATAAAGATGAAATTCTGTCTGTGTTGTTCAGACTGTAAAATAAAGCGGCGGCAGCCACTCTGCTCCTAGTCTCCATTAGCTCCAGATCATGAGCCCATTCCACGCTGCCCCACCGGCTTATCTGGAGAAACAAAACAAACACGATTGCTGCCTAACTGTTTTCACGACTGTCTTTGCTATCGTTCTAAAAAAACAATCACATTCTCCCATGGTTTAAACTCGTACCACAGAAATGACGTTATGAAATAATGAAGTGAAATCAAAGTTTGCAGAATTTCTTACATTTTACGGTTCTGTCCATGTCGATTTCTTTTAAAACAACAACAACAACAATACGGAAAAAAAGTG